TATACCGTTGCAGTATTCATATTAATGAAGAAAAAACATTGGCATCAATGGTAAAGTAGATTGTTTTCATCTTGGAAATATGATGTCGGTTTACTCTTTACCAATTCCAGTGATTGTTGTTTAGTTCAACTCGTTAATAAAACCATTAATTTTTGTGTACTTCAACACATTGTTAACGCATATCCAGGAGAGGTCCAAGTAAATTCTGGTAGAAAATGACGTGCTACAGATTACCTCAAGGCACCGTAGCAATCTGGAAACTCCAATGAAACGTTCCCTGCAGGTTTCCATAATACGACTTCTCATGAAAATAGTTTCTCGTAATGTAGAATGTGCGCAAGTCATTTAATTGATTGCAGGTTTTTTTGTCTGCTAGCTTGCTGACCCAGTAAATTCGGTCACTTGGTCGGTATAAGTAGTTCATCTGAAGATTGCTTTGTCGTTGGTAGGCCGATTTAAGTCGTCATCGTCACCGCTGCTACTTCTTAGTTCGTTAATCATCAGCTTACTCTGATGCTTCACCGATTATCATCGTCATCATCGCAATTGTTACTATTCCGCTCAACACCGCGACTATCGTCACAGTTACCACAATCACCAAGTTTATTATCAACTTTTGTCTCAGTGTTGCCAACTCTGTGTATCTGCTCAATTATCTTGGTCTTAATACACCCCACATTTTATCATAATTTAAATTGAATTTTATCATCAATCTTATTTACTTGTGATTGTAACAATTTTAATTACTCTTTGTGGGTTTAATCAGGCAAATATTGCCCCATTTAAGAGGAAATCTACTTTGCATACCCATGCATACCACAATTTATAGCAATTTTTATATTGGTGAAACTTTGTATGGTAAGTGATATAACAACTGACCTGGGAGATTCAGCGAAGTAAAAGTTATGGAGATTGTGTAATTTATCACATTTCATTCAAGTGTAGAGGTAAACAGATACAGATATATATACATATATAGTGTGGAATTATCTGGAATTGATGACATCCAGTTGAAATAGGAAATAATTATTACAAGAATGATAGGGATAATGGTGATAAATTTAATGGTGCTGGTGCTAGTGGTGATAATGGCGGTGGTGATGTTGATGTGGTGGGGATGATAGAGATGGAATGATGGTGGTAGTATTTATTGTGGTGTTGATAAACACCACTACTGATTTTGGTGGTGTGGCAGAAAAGTTGATGGTTATGGTGGTGATATTGTTGGTTGTTGGTTTGATATTGATGATGATGGTTGTGGAGATATTGGTGGTGATGGTATTGATGATGATTATGATGGTGGTGGTCAGGTGGTAAAATTGGGGATGGTTGTGATATTTGTAGTTTTAACGGTATTTATCTTGGTGATGGTATTTGTAGGTGATGATTGTGGGTGTTGATTATTTTATCTCAATGGTAGTGATGGTGGTAACAATAATTGTATGACTACAGTTGGATAGTTCATTCTATTATTGTCATGATTGATAAAAATAAAAAATTGTTTTGAATACTTTAAGCAGATACCATAATGATTTGAGAGAATACTTTAAAATCATTATATTTCAAAAGGTTTTTTTTAATACTTTGATAATGTCTTTCTGGTCTTAAAGTGTACATGTAAATTTAGATTAAGTGCACATGCAAAATTAATGAGTGGCATTTAAAATGGCCATGAACTAGTCATGCTTTAATTATGTAAAGTATTTTTAGCAGTGAATGTTACTATTAAATATTCTATGACATAGAAATTTTTTTTTATTTTTTTGGGGTTTTATTTTTTTAACAAAATTAGGTTATTTTTCTTATTACTTAAGTAGCACTTATAGCATATTAAAAGCTTCAATAATATGAAGGAGAAAAAAAGGCTGAGGGTGTAAAAGCGTTGAGCTGCAAATGTTGAAGAGCACACAAAACATGATAGACTAGATTAAGTGGAAGGGATTATGTGTGATGTACTGTATAAACCCAAACCTGCTATTTATTATAAATTTTAAATTAATTAATTTACTTAAACAATTTTATTACATTATAGATCGTCCATTTTTAAAAGAGATTGAACCAATCAAGAAATTGCAGAGGAATTTACTACGAGCTCTACAATTTGAGTTGCAAATCAACCACCCAGAGGACAAAACCATGTTTAATCAACTAGTGACAACCCTTCCAATGCTCCGACAGATCGGCCCCGAGCACACCCGCCGCCTCATGGAACTGAAGGTTAAAACACCGGAGATGCAGTTCCCGCCCCTGCATGCTGAAGTATTCGATTTAAATGAGGTTCCGAAAAATAAGAACCACGAAAAGGAAAAACCAGAGATTTGAGCATAATAAAGAGTATTTCATTTCTAAATGGACGGGTGTTCACAAACAGTTGCACGATAGAAAAGACTTGAAACATTCAACTTGGTTCGAGAAACAATCAAATATAAACATTATGAATTATCAAGTATCTATTTTGAGACTGAGAGATTGCAAACAAAAAATGATACAGAAATTGCAGAATAATTGTTCGAAGAGGATGACAGTTATAAGAAGCCTCTGCAGCATAATCACGTTTGAAATGTTCTGATACAAACCGTACTCATAATTGTCGTACTTCACAAAGTCTAGTCCAGCGCAAAATTAATGGCCTCTCATAGAGTTATTCACTTAACATCTGAAGGTCTGGCCCCAGTGAAGGTCATTGCAAGAACTTGTTCTAAAAACTCTTTTTTACTGTAAAAGTAACATATGACCTGTAGTTAAAAAAAAGCTCATCAATGACTAATTGCAAGTTGAAAACAAAAAAAAAATGCTCATGGCTTAACATGTTTGAATTAATGTATGTTTAGTGAAGGTGTGTGGCAAGCGATTAATACTTGAACCTGCATGTATCTCCGATGTCATTCATCATCTCTTATGGTAACTGCCAACAGAGGGTGCTCTAATCATTTTAAGAATTTTTATTGGTAATTTGTAAAGACCGAAACTTGGATTGGTGTACTGTGTGCCATAAGAATGCTTTGTGTATTTGAATGGTTTTGAAACATTTCATTGTTTATAGGAATTATTTGAACAGATATTTATCTCTGGGATTCAAATAATTCTTATTATGTATATAAAAAAATCTAGTGATAACAATGATTGCAACATAAGACTGGTTACTTCAGATCTCCATAGTAGTAAAGTAAATAGTAACTCAAGTCTTTGACACTAGAGAGGAAACCATACATACTCCGTCACGGTGTCAAAATAATCTACTGTTATTGAATAGACTCATTGGTTCATAAAAAAAAGATACATAGCTATAACTTTTAAAGATTTGTAAGAAAAACAAATTCATGACCTGCTCTTATTCATTACACCATGCCAATTAAAAAATGAAAAAATATTGTAAAATATGTAACATATTTCCTAGGTGGACAATGGCCGGGTCAGTACTATAAACATTATAAACTGATAATACTATAGTGTAACTTAGTGCAAATCATATATACTGTAGTTTGAATGATGCCTAACATTAAAACAATTCAAATGTGATGTGCGACTGAAATATTGTGAACTGTAAATATTTTAAAAATGTAACTCTTTTGTCATTTCTCAACTTTCATCGTCATGAAAGTTTTATTCAATGTTTAACTGAAATAACAATATGGATATTGTGTGTTTTTTCTGCTGAAATAAGTGATGCTAACTTTAGTTTGTTCATTACATGGTAGTGTAGTATATTTGCATAGAATTGTGCATACAAATGGCGTTAGATGGTAGGCCTACAAATATTATACCTACAACAGATCTGATAACATCCTCCAAGCCCTAAAATTACTTGTATTCATATGGTTTAAAATGTATTCTATTGGATGATTCCAATATAAAAGGTATGTGATAATATGAATATTCAAATTACAGTCATGTTGCTCTGCCATCCTATTGGTTGTTCCTGAATTTTAAATGAAGGGGCATTGCTACCATGCTTTTGATTGGATGCTTTCAATACAAATGTAGTATGAGGTATTTGATTGGTCGTTTAAATACTGTATTAATATATCATGGAGGAAATTATCCAGATAAATTTGAATAGAGGGGGTGTAGTATATTCAAGATATACGTGCTTGAAATCCTTAAGTATTTTATAATTTGAGATTCATGCATCATTTGAGGTCAAAATTTTGTTATGTAAGATCTGTAGAATTTGCAGCACTATACTAAAACATGCGTTACATATGATCCATTGTGTTTTCAACTCTAGTTTAAAACATGCTTTATATCAGATCTGTACAATATTACCTCTAGCTTAAAATATTGGTTACGTCAGATCCAGTAAATTTGTTATGTGAGTTAAATGTAACGTTTTTTAGCTCAAACACCTTGTAACACTTTATAGTATTTGTGTTGCATTGGTTTATTTTATTTTGACGTATTAACATTATTGGTATGAATAGTGTCTAATTACGAGATAGCTTCCAAGCCTCCTCGTTCCATTTGTACTTCTCAGCTTCTATTGCAAAGTGTAATACAAGTTATGATGATACAGTTAATTTTTTATGATAAATTCATTACGAACAATGAAATCACTTTAAAATATACTTTTTTTATTATTTGTAGTAAATGCAATTCTGCTGAAAAGAAGCTTTTCTCTTGATTACAAATTTTAAATTTCAGCATGTAAAAATTTATTTTATTGTATATTTTATTCATATTTAATAATACACCTGTGGCTTCTAATACAGATACGCTTGTCAAATGTAATGTCATGTTATTTGTAAATATTCTTGACAATTTTTATGAAATACCACTTGTATGTTTCTTCCAGACTTTAATCATATACTGTATAGTGTTTATTATAATCATTTTTGTTTGTTAAAAATACTGATTATTTTATTTCTGGACAGATACTCCCAAATCAGTTGTGTACAAAACAGCTGATTTTAATGATGTAGATAAAATTGTCTAAATGTAAATCCAATTTCAGAAAATGTTGCACTTGTTTTCAAATAGTTTGCATACAAAGTACAAAATGTTAATGCCTATGAGAGGATGATTATTTTTATTAAGCTAAAACCCTGTTTAGATTGGACTGTCTTTCGGTCAGACTAACCATGAATTTGTCAGTCTGTGTTTTAAAAATGCAGTGTGAACAGTCTGCCTAAGATTGTCATTGGTAAAAGTACCCACGTTGCGCAGTATGTTAACCAATCAAATCGTACGCTGAGTAGAAGAACTGATTGGAGGCATGGTGCATAATCAAAAATTTCTTCACACATTCTGTGCACCCAAAAATTTGAATTTGGACTCATCTACGTTGTCATATTTGTATTGAATTTTTAGCATGGCAAATAATATTTAACCACAGCTTGGATAAAATCTTACTTCATTTTTTAAATTGAAGTGTGAACACTGGTAGAGTTACCGTAAATCTTTGAATAATCGCCACAACGCATATAACATTTTTGAAGGCTTCAGTGCGGCGCTTATTAAAAAGATTATTATCATGGCGCTTTTCTTGTCTGTTTCCATGTTATCTATCTCGCATATCCCCGTAGTTCAGTAGGCCTATCATAGGTTTTACGTCATCGTAAATAAACATTTATAAAGATATGCTTGTGTCTTCATTGTGTTATTTATTCATTTGAACACTGTACACATTATATTTAAAACCCTCTTTCTCAAAGTGTTTCATTACACACAGTAATAATATGTGCAGAATTCTTGGTTAAGCACCGTGGCGCTTACTAAAATAAAATAATCTTGAATGAGCGCTGCGGTGCTTAGCAAAAAAAAGCTATATTGGATGCGGTGCTTATTCGAGGATTTACGGTACATTCTGTCTTGGTCAAAATACATTCAGTGTGAAGGAGGTTTAATTCTCATTACGGTGCTTGAAATTGGAATTCTTTTTGGTCAACCTTTAGATGGTCCTAGTCTTCAAAATGACTTAAACCAGGACCCAGCACCCTTCACAGCTCTTTGTATATTACACATAAAATTTATTATAAAATTGTTTAGTAAATTAATAATATAAAGGCCTGTAGTTTGCTTTGGTAAAATGTAAAAAATACAAAGAACTGTAGTAAAGCAAATTATTGTTTTCTGTCGTTTAATTTCAGCTGCAAGTAGTATGGAACTAAAGTTCAGTAAATAAACTGTTATTAAAATGACTATATTTTGTTGAGCCCAATGTATATCTTTGTTTCAGAATCATCGTTTTTATATTTCATTTCTTAATTAGATATCTGAAGTTTGTAATGATAATGTACTTGCATTCGTTACATGTACTCATCTAAAAGAGTATGCTTAGTTAAAACAATTACATTTCATATTTTCAATTTGATTCTGTCAAAAATATAGTGTGACAGAATTTGTAGTTTTGCTCAGCTATCAATGAATTGGGCAATTTCTGCTCCTAATTTTTTGTATTTACAGGATTAGTATAACATAATTTCATTCAACGTGCTCTTTGTAGAAGGAAACACATTTCCCGCAAGCAGTGAGTAGTTAATTGAACTCAGATGGCAATGCAACATTTATTTGATGCAATTGTAAATGGTATTCATGTAATGATAGTAATTTAAATTGTGGAGTAATATATATATGCACTCCATATATAAACTGTACATTGCCTGTTTTTAATGGTGGAATATAAAGTTCCATCACACGAATGCATCGATGCTACATGTAGTGTAGCATACATTCTCAGATCGTTATACTTAACTACGTAGATATATTTACGATGTGTCACTTGTAATACCGTTGAAGAGATGGCATTATAATATGTATTACTGTAATTGTATTTTTTTGGGGGGAGGGGTGGGGTTATTCATGAGTAAATCAAATACTGAAATATTTATTCAGTATTTTGAATTTTGAGAGGATAAGTGAAATAAATTATACAGTTGTACAGATCATTAGAATACTAAGAGGTTTAGCTATGTATGTTACGCAACATGAACGAAAAATTTCGTTGAATTTTGAGCCTTGCCTATTGATGTTATGAGCGTTTGTAATGCTGGAATAACCCCTTTAAGAGCTGGGGGTCAGCCAGCTGAACTGTAATCCCTATGAGAAATAGTTGACTTATATACGCATCTTATATATGTTTGAATGTTTAGCGTGTAGCCAAGGTGCGTCTGCTGTCGTCTAGTGTTGTTCAATGCTCTGTCACCCCCCTCTATCCATTTCCATTGCTGTCTTGTCCGACTCCTTGGCTACACATTGTGAAGTCAAGTTTACCATATGTAAAACTTGTTTAATAAATCTATTTTGAAGTCAGATGGTTGTATTCCTTATGTTTGCTGTCAATAACATTAACTATATTAACTACCCCCATGGGAATATACTAACCCCAGGGCATATACTAACCTCAGGGGCATATACTAACCCCAGAGGCATATACTTCTGACCAGGGGCATACTACTGTATAATCGAGTTCAGCAAAATTCAGCTAACTGGGATTTGAGATGTAGTCAGCAACTGGCTTTCACTTAATTCGGCAGACTAGTAAATGGGTGTTATTCAACAAGCCTGAGATTACCAGATTTATAACATATTAAAACAAAACAAGAATACGCACACAAATACAAAAATACAGCAAATTATAGAAAACAATGAATGAATGAATAGATGGACGGACGAACAGACGGATGCATGTCTTTGATCGGTGGGGACAGGGGGAACATGTCCCCCACTTTTCAAAGTAGGGGCATCATATCCCTCTACTTTTCACCAATCTTCTATAGTTAAAACCACACTTGTCCAAGCGAGCGGAAAGAACAACCAGCCGATTGCGAGTGGAAAGAACAACGAACAAACAACATTTACTAATGACTGTCATGAATTTTGTTTGTCATTTGTGCTCTGTTGCAAGTGTGGTGCCTATTTTCGGACCAAAACACAGTAAAAACCGTAACGCAATTGTTTTTTTCTTTCTCTCTTTCTTTCGTGGCGTAACCACCACCTTTATTCAATATAATCTTCATTTTTAAAATAGCTTTTGACAGGGATAGGTCTGTCTATTTCGACTTATTTATGTAGTGATACCACAAGTTTACGAACTCCGATGTTACGTTGACGCTATCTCGCCATGGCGTCATGATAATGATAAAAAATAAATCACATTTATGTTGGTGAAAAAAAATGCTACCTTGTTTTCAGTGCTTCCTATCTCCCTAGTCCTGTTTGATCGTAATTAGACAGTAATATTTCCACTCACAATAGTGTAGTGTCAATACCACTTTCAGAATAGTGAAATTCTAAAAGATGAAAAAAGAAAAAACCTCTTGATTGATTTTAAAAATACTGTACTGTACATGCAAATAGACTAAATTAGAGTGACTGTTTTAAGTTTATCTTATTTGTTTTTCATGGTTCGAATACGTCACAAGCTAATCAATAGATAATAAATTATTATTTTTATGAATGTTAGTTGGCACGAAATATATTAGCGGGCATGATTATGATTAACAGGATGAATTTAAAAAAAAAAAAATTTTATGATAAGTATTTCGGTGGCAAATTCAAGGGGATCCAGTGGAGAAAAAAGAAAATTGTAATCAAAGTCTGAGAGTGCCATTTCCGGTCAAATTCCTGGATCCGCCACAGTACTTCGAAAATGTAGTGTGGAAATGCATAACTCTTAATTGCATTCCTTAAAATCAATTTGATACGAATCATAATTACCACCTCCCCTCCCTTTCATGAATACAACACCGAGACCCAAATTACCCCCACTCCAATTCCCTTCTAACACTATAAATTCTTTCCAATCGTTACTTAATAAAAACATTTCAAAATAGAAAATCCAAAATACAGACAAAATTACGAAAAGCAAAAATAAATTGAAAACACATTAGCATTAATACAACGCAAAATAAATACGTATCTAACAGGTAAGGTTCTAAACCAGGTAGGCTACTTGTTTTATAACGCAAGTAGTCGCCAAGTGAAGATTTTCTCCGAATTTCTTCCATAGTTGAATATATGATTGTATGATTGTTTGAATCATCGAAGGGCTTCACCCAATTAAAGTTGACACCTATACAAGCAAGCATTATTCAAAATGGAATAAAGTCAAAATTAGCATTACAACATGTCGTAAGAAACTCAATAACAATTTGACACCTGAATTTACAATATATTAAGCTAATAATTGTATTATTTACCGTATTTATTACTATATTTATTTACAGACGAGTTACAAGATAAAAGGAAAATGAAAAATAATTGTACTATACGGAAGTACGGAAATAAAATAATATAACAAAGGTAAAATATTTTTAAAAATTTCTCGTATATATGTAACCATGCCTCTTAAAAACTGTTAATAAATTCCTTTAAAATATCCACTTCTGGACAAGCGTTAACAAAAATCATTATATATTGAAAATACCTTAAAAAAAAACATTTTTGCAAATATTAACTTTGGAAAAGGAAACATGGAAAATAATAATACTAAGTCTGTGATTAGGAAGTCTAAAGAAAGAAATTAAATAAAAGTGGAAATAATTATTAGTACATTTAAAAAGAAATGTTAAGTCAAGGTATTTTCTTCTGGCAAAGTGATTGGATTTCAAATTAATATCGTTAAGCAAAAGTCTTGGTTCATCCCCATATACATAAAAAACGGCTGTTCATACGGATATTATGTATACGAACACCTAATGAGTGTTCTTTTAACAATTTCGTGAATTCATGCATTATTATACAAAATAAAGTTGATGAAAGCACGCATCGCTTTTTCACTCCTTCCTCAATATAAAAAAAAAAAAAATCACCATCTGTTGGAATATTACTTTTCCCGATAAGAACTTAGTAAATAGAGGGCAGCAAACACTATTTTGCGCTTATCAGCTTTGGGACAATAGTTTTTAGAAGAATTTAATCTCTAATAACCGGTGGCTCCAAAGCTCTGCCGACAACTTTGTTTTTAACCATTTATATACATACATATACATACATAGGCCCTATATACATATACATATAGTTCTATATGTATATATATGTATATATGTATATATATATAAAAGAGAGTCCAGTACTAATTAACTTAGCATATTCTTTATAAACAGTTTTTATCATCTTTATCTACAGTACTTCATTATTCCGAGTAAGCTTCATTCAGAGCCGAGCACCTGATGATTGAGGCTGTGTCCTCATGAAACAGTCTGTAGTGCAAAATAAAATGTTGAGTTTGTAACCTAGTGTCTTTGATTACTTATATATATATATATATATATAGGCCAATAACGAGAGGATCCACTAATTAGCTTCAAATGAAGAGACATATCTTTGCGAAAACAGACTGGACATTTTACGATTGTATGTAATATTTATTAGTAAGGGTATAATTAAATAATAATAAATAATATATGATATTCCTGTTGAGTAGTTTCTCCTTTTGAAAATGTGTAACCCTTTTTTGTTCTCTTCCAACATTTTTCATTATCTTCTGTAATTTTTAATGTTTTTGTGCAAATACAAAATTCAAATCTTTAAAAAAATCTTAATCTTTAAGAAAAAAAAACAAAAACGAAAGTTTAAACATACTGCATTTCAATAAAAAGTAAGTAAGAAATCAACAAAAATAAAACAGTGAAACTGGATGGAAATAAAGTAAAATTCCAAACATAGAGAAAAAGAAGTACATGAATTACTTTGAGCAAGTAATTAAGACACTAAAATAGTATTAGAAAAAAATTAACAAAAATTCAAGAAAAAGTAAAAAATATCCTAATAGACTGTAATATGCAATATAAGTGTACAGTATGATTGTACTTAATATACATACACATACATATAAACATATTGCATATAAATACACACATAAATATACACATTCATATATATAGGCTACATACATACATATACACACACATACATATAAATACACATACAAACATATACTGTACATATATATACTGTATATATATATACACACTCATAATTATATATATATATAGGCCTACATATATATATATATATATATAATATATAATATACACTACAAAAAGAAATACCGTACCTAAATAAAGTTAAATTAAATATACCGTTAAGTAACAGCATTATATAGGGTATTAAGATAGGCATAATTCTTTGTATATATTACTTCTACAAATGCAAGCGGCACAAATACCGGTATATTGTTTACAATGACGGTCAAAAATGTCGTCCAATTTTCCGTTCTCATATAAATTTATCTAAAAATAAGTGATGTTTAAATTCTATAGAACCATTTTCAAAGTCATCCCAAGAAGACCAGAGACCCCAATAATAAAGTTCTTTTAAATTTATAAAAGTATCATTTCTAATTATCTGTAGTCTGTTACATTCAAATATAAAATGGTTAACAGTTTCTTTAGTATTATCATGGCATATTTTACATTTATTTGGAAAATCATTTGACCAAGATGACTTTCTTTCTTCAAGCTCTAGTGAGTTGGATCGGGCCTTGCATTTAAGATTGATTCCTTTAAAATTTGTTTTATCAAGAAGATAAAGTTCAAATTTTGGTTCTCCTTTATATTTTATATAGTCACTAAGAGATGACTTCATTTTGCTCTTACATACCAATCTTTAGCGTCGGTCTTTTTGTTCTCTATTTTTCATGATTTTATCTAGCTATCATCGTTTTCGATGATATACACATTTTAACATGTTACCGTACATTTTTGTAGTGGGCAATTCCATGGTCACAGGTCGACTTTTTAAGGCATTCATAATGGTAAAAACTGTTTAAATATTACAGATAAACCAGTAAATCTGAAATTCCAAGTAAATTTTATCAAAACATAAAGTCATTTATGAAATATTGATATTAATATGTTTGGTCACAGACCGACTTAAAAAAAAAGAGAAAATTTTACAAATATAAACTTTGTGCAATTCTATTGAAAATATTACGAAAAGATTTATGGTAGCACATCCAGTATGTAAAATCATATATAAGGAATTAGTATCAACAGAGAAGGTGATGTAAAACTACATCATGGGGATGGCAGGGTAGATGGTACCACCTTGGGTCTGGTCACAGACCGACCTATCGATTTGCATGATAGTATATGATGGAATCTGGCACATTAAAAGGAGAAAACACTTTATATATAAAATTAAATACTAAAAACTTGTTACCAAACATTGTATATAAAAAAGCATAACTTAATTCCTTATAGTAAACAAAAATGTATTTTGTAATAAAATCAGATTATTTAACATATTAAGAATGGTATTATTTACCTAATAAACGTCACAGAAAATAGTCTTAAGCAAAATCATGATTGCTTGGATGTTAATTGATCTGACCCAGTTAATAAATACTCTAGTACTTAATGAAAAAAGGCATATTAAACCAAGAAAATTATGAAATGCATTTTATGCATTATGGGTATTTGGAAGTGTTTTCACATCCTCCCAGCGACCATCAAACATGCTCCATTTTTCATCTATGGTTGCCTTTGAAATGAATAGCATGGTTTTTTTTCTTTAGATGTTAATGGCAATGGTGGCGCCAGATGTTTGCCAACAAGGGGTCCGACGTGTCTGATGCAGGGTCCGAACCAAAGCGACGACAAAGCCTCGGTCGATAGCCCGAAACAAACAAATCTCTGTTAGGGTTCTTGAAGGGAGTTTTTATGGCGTAATTTAACCCTAAATGTGTTTTTAGACCACAATATTAGGGATTGGCAATCAAGATAGCGTTATTTAGATTGGAAAATTATTATTTAAAAAAATTTTTGGTCCGACGACCTATTCGTTCGACGAAAGACAGGGGGTCCCGGCCTTCCGACAAAGGAAATTCCCCCACCTCGCTGACGCCTCCGCTGGTTAATGACATAGAGAATAGTAACTATACAGTATTTAAATGTTGAAATCAAGATCTATACTGAATGATAAACTACAACTTTATGTATTTTAAAGATTTTACCCACTCAGCTTCCAACTACTTAGTCACATGGTTTAATAT